ACACAATTGGTGATGGGAGCTAGTGGAGGCCCTCTAGGCTCTCCTTAGGACTTCCCAGCCAAATCCTGGAAAAGGAATTGACCTCGGCCAGAAGATCCTTCTATTGCAAAGGGTTCGGAGGATTCTGGCTTCCCATTTTCCCATCTTCCATCAATGGGGCGTCATGGGCTATCAGCACTTTCTGCATTGGGAGAACACATCGGAGGCTATGAGGAAAAGATTCCGAGGACCTACAAAGAGCCCCTGCAAAGAAAAGCTACAGGATCCCTAAGAGAGCATCTCCAGGACTCCAGCCAAAGGTCTGTCCCAAGCTTTGAGTTCTCCCTTTACCTCGACAAGCTTGAGGCCCATTTCTGCTAGACCAGGAGTGGGGAATCTGTGGCCTCAAGTCCACATGTGGCCCTCTAGGCCCTCAAGTGCAGCTCTTTGAATCCAAACTTCACAGAACAAATCCCCTAATAAAAGGATTTGTTCTGTAAAACTTGGACTCAGTCAAAAGGCCGCACCCAAGGACCTAGGCCTCAAGGCCACAGATTCCCCACTGCTGGACTCTATGTTGTCCTCTTGGGAGAGTGGGGCATGGGCTTTTAGGGGGATATTTGTACCAGCTGTTCTTACTATTCACCTTAGCAAATATTCTTTTCTAAAAACTATTTAGGATTGGCTGACTGATAACAGCTGATATTCAGAGTGGAAAATACATGGGGGGGGTTCACAAACAATAGTATCAGGATACCTTTCAGCCCCTCAGGACTTAACCTACAGCCCTAAGGGAATGCAGCAGTGCCTTGGGGAGCAGGGATAAAGACCCCTGGAGTCTATTTGTACTGCTTTTGTATAAGGAAATGTTTGTTAATGTTTCTCAAGTTCATAAAAATGAAAAGGGAAGTATCGTTAATGGAGACTTTGTCAGAAAACGTTCACTCATAAGGGATTTACTTCCCACTCTTTCCACTGCTCTCATTTGCCAGTGGTAATGGCTGGTTGTGCACTGCTGATTTCTCAGCTTCAGCAAGCATGATTCAATTCAATTCAACTCAATGAACATTGATCGAGTGCCTACTATGTGCCAGGCATTCTGCTAAGTGCTGGGAATAGAAATGAGATAGTTCCTGCACTCAAAGAGCTTAAAATCTTTTTAAAAAATTGTTTTTGAGAAAAAATTTATATTTTCAAAATAATTCATTAGAAACATTTTTCATCAGCAAAACACTTTTGAGAATGGACAAAGTAAAAGGAGAGAGAGAATAAGATAAACAGGGAGAAAATAGGATAGAAGTGAAGAGGTCTAGGGGTTTTGGGGTGCTGGGACCCCAAGATCGCAGTACCGGGCCCTGCTGAATGAATTCAACTCAAATCTGCTTCAGCCAGAGAAAAAGTTTATTAGTGATAAATCACATTGACCAGGTGACGCCTGTAAAGACGAGCGGGCATGAGAGGTTCTCAGCCTTGTGGGCCTGAGATTCTCAGCTGGGTGATGCCCATAAAGACGAGCGGGCATGAGAGGTTCTCAGCCTTGTAGGCCTGAGATTCTCAGCATCTGAATGAGGGCCAAGGTGGATCTTAAATACTAAAGTTAACTTTGGGTGGCCAGAGAAGGGGGTTGGGAAAAGGGTCTAGGTAAGAACTCTAATTGGGGAGGTCAGAGAGATTGAATAGACAATGGGAATAGATAATGGAGGGAACAGGAAGGCAGAAGTTTGAAAGGCATCTGCACAAAATCAAGGTGGGGCTAGGACTTTCAAAAGGAGGTAAGGAACGGTTTGAGACCAGAGAAGGCCTTTCTGTAGCCTATAGACAAAAGGGAGCCTAAGGCTTTCAAAGGGAGATGAGGGTCTGGGGCCTGTGAGTTCGATTCCCTTTGGGGCAAAGGGCGAAGATCTTGGCTTGTTCCCCGCCCCCATCAGAAGGAAATGCCTAGTTGGTAATCATTACTGTGAAAACAACTTTTACAGTGAGTTTCTCTGATAAAGACTTCATTTCTCAAACATACAGAAAACTAAGTCAAATTTATAGAAATAAGAGCCATTTCTCAGCTGATAAATGGTAAAAAGATATGAATAGGCAGTTTTCAGACAAAGTAATCAAAGTTATCTATAGTCACATGAAAAAATGCTCTAAATCACTATTGATGAGAGAAAATGCAAATTAAAACAACTCTGAGCTACTACCTTATACCTGTCAGATTGGCTAATAGGACAAAAAAGGAAAATGAGCAATGTTGGAGAGGATGTGGAAAAATTAAAACACTAATGTACTCTTTGTGAAGTTGTATACTGATTCAGCCATCCTGGAGAGCAATTTGGAACTATGCCTAAAGGCTACAAAACCATGCACACCCTTTGACTCAGCAATACCACTCTAGGGCTGTGTCCCAAAGAGATCATACAGATGGGAAAGGGACCCACATGTACAAAAATATTCACAGCAGCTCTTTCTGTGGTGGCAAAGAACTGGAAATTGAGGGGGTGTCCATCAATTGGGGAACAGATGAACAAGTTGATGTATATGATTATGAAGGAACACTATTGTGCTTTAAGAAATGATGAGCAGAATGCTCTCAGAAAAACATGGAAAGACTTCCATGAACTGATACAAAGTGAAATGAGCAGAACCAGGAGAACATTGTGCATAGTAATAGCAATATTGTATAATAATCTATTATGAATAAATTAACTATTCTCAGTAATGCAGTGATCCAAGACAATTCTGTAGGACTTAGGATGAGAGGTATTGTCCATCTCCAGAGAGAGAGATCAAATGCAGATCAAAGATACTTTTTCTTCACTTTATTTTTTTTTGTGGTTTTTTTTTTGTCTGTGTTTTCTTTCACAGAATGATTTAGATGGAAATGTGTTTTGCATGACTACACATGTATAACCTATGTCAAAGTATTTGCTTTCTCGGGGCAGCTAGGTGGTGCAGTGGATAGAGCACCGGCCCTGAAATCAGGAGGACCTGAGTTCGAATGCAGACCTCAGACCAAACACTTGACACTTACTAGCTGTGTGACCCTGGGCAAGTCACTTAACCCCAATTGCCTAAAAACAAACAAACAAATAAATAAATTGTTCGACTTCTCAATGAGAGGGGTTAGGGGAGGGAGGGAGAAAATTTGGAACTCAAGATTTGAAAAAAATGTTAAATTTGTTTTTACATGTAATTGAGAAAAAATAAAATGTTAAATGAGATTTTTTTTTAAAAAAGAAACGTGTTCCATCTAAATCCACTGGTTGTTTTTATTTAAAATTTTTTTTCAAATAATATTTTATTTTCCCCCAATTACATATAAAAGTAATTTTGCACATTTATTTCTTAAAATTTTGAGTTCCAAATTCTCTCCCCACCTCTTTTCTTTTCCTTCCCTAATGTGGTAAGCAAATTGATATAGGTTATACATGGGCAATCATGCAAAACATATTTCCATATTAGTCATGTTGTGAAAGAAGACACAGACAAAAAAAAAAACTCAAGAAAAATAAAGTAGTAAAAAAGACCCCAGTATGCTTCAATCTGCATTCATATTCCATCAGTTCTGTCTCTGAAGGTAGATAGCATTTTTCATCATCGGTCCTTCAGAATCATCTTGGATCATCGTATTAAAATTTTTTTTTAATTTATTTTTTACATTCTTTTTAAAAATTTTGACTTCCAAATTCTCTTCTCCCCCTCTCGCACTCATTGAGGAGGCAAGCAAAATGATAACCATTATATTTGCAAAACATAGTTCTATATTAGCCATGTTGTAAAAAAAAAAAGGTAAGAAAAATAAAGAAAATGAAAAACAATATGCTTCAATCTGCATTCAGAGTTCATCAGTTCTCTCTCTGGATGTGGATAGGATTTTTCATCATGAGTTATTTGGAATTGTCTCCGATCGTTGTATTGATCAGAGTAGCTAGGTCATTCACAGTTACCCATCATGCAATATTGCTGTTGCTGTGGACAATGTTCCCCTGATTGTGTTCGCTTCACTTTGCATCAGTTCATGTAAGTCTTTCCAGGTTTTTCTGAAAGCTTCCTGCTAAGTCATTTCTTATAGCACAACAGTATTCCATTACAATCATATGCCACAACTTGTTCAGCCATTCCCCATCTGATGGGCATCCCTTCAATTTCCAATTCTTTGCCACTACAGAATGAGCTGCTATAAATATTTTTGTACATATGGGTCCTTTTCCTTTTTCTTTGATCTCTTTGGGATACAGAGGAGCTTATAATCTAATGGGGGAAGATGACCCCCAAAAGAAAGTTAAACAGGGTGAGAAGCCATCAAGGGGTTCCTTGGGCAGGGGTATGATGTCCTGTGAAGTTGAACCCAAGCAGAGGCGCTGATAGAAAATGAAGTTACCTGGAAATTGGTGAACATTCGGAGCACTTCACAAAGGAAGGCTTTGCTTTACCATCCAGCCCTCCAGTCAGAGGAGAGAAGCAACTGAGGGAGCGAAGGATGTGTGGAGTATTGGAACCTGCAGCAATGTGCATGAAGATGAGATTTTTAGGTATCTGCCTATCCTGCAGCAGGCATATTGTTCCATGAAGTCAAAACCAAGCAGAAATGCCCGGGAGAAAAGGAGTTACCTGGAAAGTTCTGTAGGAAATTTGTTGCCACTCTAATTATGGAATTACCCAGAGAGATCTCTGTGCCAGTAGGCAAGCCACCCAAATCCACCAAGCTTCAGCCCAGAAAGGGGCTGGACCAGAAAGAAGATCCTAAATTCTAGATTCTGGGTGTATAAAATGCGAAACGATTTCTGTGTCTCCTCCTAGCTACTGCCCCACTACTAGGACCTCTCCTCAATCACAACTCTTTAGGTCTATGTTGTGACAGTCAATTCACTTTGTGAAATCAGACAGTTTATGAGCATAGTAAAGTTTCGAGGCAATTGTTAAGTACTAATCAAGGCTACTATCTCCTAAATTTCCTTCCAGCTTCCCTTTTTTGGGGGTATCAGAAGAACAGATCTGAATTGTTCCTCCCATCCCCTCCAAGGTCATGGAGAAGATGAAGGGAAGAACTTGTATGTGGGCTCCCACCTAGGGATGTCTTTGTGAGCAAGAAAGAAGGTGGGGAGGACAGAACAGCAGGAAGGTCCATCCGTCCCAGAGGCCTTCTCATCAACTGCTGAGGCTTCACAGTGGCCACCAGCTCTGGCTTTACCTTTTAGACGGTAAGCTTCTTGAAGGCAAGGAGTGGTTTTTTGTCTTTCTTTGTATCCCCAGGGTTTAGCAAAGTGCCTGGCACACAGAAGGTGCTTAATAAGTGCTTGTTGACTGTCTGACCTCCACAGCATCACTCAGATCCCTGGTCTCAACTCCCCCACCACTAGTGCTAATCAGAGGAGACAACTATGGAATAAGCATCTAACATTCATTGGCACCTCCCTGGCTCCCTCAGGCTCTTCGCTCCTGATCTGAATGGCCCGGGGAATCAATCTCAGGGGTAGAGGTGAGGAATAATAAATAACAAGAGCTAATATTTATATAGCGTATACGGATATCTCATTTATATCATAGCATTTGATCACCTGTAAAACTGGCAGCTAGGGCAGAACTGTGGACACAGTGCTGGGCTGGAGTCAGGAAGGCCCAAGTTCAAATCCAGCTTCAGACACTGACTAGGAGTGTCAACCTGGTTAAATCGCTTACCTTCTATTTGCCTCAGTGTCCTCAGTTCTGAAATGGGGATAATAATAGTATCTCCCTCCCAGGATTGTTGTGAGGATTAAATGAGATCATAGCTGTAAAGTGCTTAGCACAGTGCTGGACTCATAATAAATGATTTATAAGTGTTAATTATTATTTATTATTGTTATTTTAATATATTTTATTTTTCTCCAATTACATATTAAAATAATATGTTTATCATTTTATATTATTATATTATATTTATATTATATGTTTATAATATTGTGTATTTATATTATAAATTATTGCAAAATAATAATTTAACATTTTAAGTTCTATATACTATCCTTCCCTCCTTCCTCCCTGATTTATTATTATTGTAGATACCCATTTTACAGATACAGAAACTAAGACTAAAAGAGGTTCAGTGACTTGCCTAGGGTCTAGAAGCTAGTAAATGCCTAAGGCATGATTTGTACTCAGGTCTTTCTTTTGTCAAGATATCAGGAGAGACTATTTTCTAGAGCTAAGGCCCAGCAAGTATAGCTCACCCTCTGGAACTAATGGTCCCTCACTCTGCACCAAGCAGCAACAGGTCCACGGGAACCCTGGCTGGGAATGGACTTTTGGTCCCTAGACAACCTTGCCTCAGTGCTGCTGTTGTGCTTCACCACTGTTGCTACTACACTGTTGGACCCTTTGTCTAGCCACGAGTATATAAATCAAAGTTCCAGCCCACTGCCATGGGTCCCTCCAGTAGGGGCAGCCTGGCACTTGTGTCCTCGTTAGCAAACCGCTTCCCTCATTTTGAAATTAAACTTTTGCTTGATGTTTGGCCCTCTTGTCTCTAGCCTGCTCTGTTCAGCTCTGGCTATCCACAGGTTAGAGGCCAGTTTGGTCCGGCTGGCACTTTCAAGTCCAGTACTCCATCCTTTAAAAGAAACATTAATATAATATGATATGATGTGATGATGTGATGTGATGTGATGTGATGTGATGTGATGTGATGTGATGTGATGTGATGTGATGTGATGTGATATGATATAATATAACATAACATAATTACTATAATATAATTAATTTGCTAGTATGTAACCATGTACCAGATTTTTCATACATTTGTTCTCCTGAGAGATCTATTGCCCATTCCACTTCCCTGTTCAAATTTCCTCTTTCTCTCCCTTTTCATCCCCCCCCCTTCTCTTCTCCTTTCTGATCAATCTATAAGTCCAGGGGCCTGAAGACAAAGAATGTTTCCTACCTCCCGACGAAGATGTGATGAGCTAAATACAGAAAATGGAACACACTTTTAGACATGGCCAGTATGTGGATTTCTTTTCCTTGATTCTGCCTATTTATTATGAGAATTTTGTTTTTATTTTATTTTCCAGAGGAGTTGGAAGGGAGAGAAAATAGATTTTTGTTCATTGAAAAAAAATTAGTTTAATTTAAAAAGAAAAAATGCTACATGAGAATTAGTTATGTACTACATTCCCTCCTTCCCCAAGCTCCACAAGAGTATGGAAAAGGAAAAACACACTAGACAAGATAATTATGATGTAAACTGCATCTGTCAACTTCAGTCCCAAGAGCAGGAGCCACATAATAGGAAACCCAGGAAATTTCTGATTTGGCAAAAAAGAATACTGGCAGTGTCTACTTAGAAGTTTGCCCTCCCTTCCTGAAAGAGCATGCCTGATTTGAGTCCAAAGGTAACTCTGGGGCCCTGAGCTACAATTTCTGAAAGAAATTAGCTTCAGTTCATTACAACCTTGCTGGGTGGGGGGGTGGGAGGGCTCCCTCAGGCAGAATTTGTATCTCTGCTAACCCAAGGCTTTATCCAGAGAAGATCATTCTTAGTCAATGCCCTTGACAAAAGGCACTGATATTTCTGTCCTTGACTGAGTTGGTCTGATGTCTCTGACGCAGAAAGGAAGAAGCCAGGGAAGTGCCAGGGCCCTGTCACCTCCCTGTGTAACATCTGAGCTCCAACTCAAATACTTCCCCTGCCTTTTCACGAAAAAGAATTCTTGTTGAACCAAGTTAAAATCATGTTTATAAAGATGTGATGTTATTTTATTTTCTCAGTTGTGTCCTACTCTTCATGACCCCATTTGGGATTTTCTTGGCAAGGATACTGGAGTGGTTTACCATTTCCTTCTCCAGCTCATTTTATGGATAAGGAAACTGAGGCAAACAGGGTTAAGTGACTTGCCCAGGATCACACAGCTAGGAAGTGTCTGAAGTCAGAGCAGGAACATGAGTCTTCCTGACTCCAGCCCTAGCAACTCTATCCACTCATCCCCCTAGCTACTCCACTGAGAGAGAGAGAGAGATCACAGACACCATCACAGATATAGACAGACATTGATTTGTATATAGAAGTTTTCATGTTGTCTTCCTATTAGAATGGAAGCTCCTCACAGGCAGGACTGTTTTGCCTTTCTTTGTATCCTTAGCATTTAGCACAGTGCCTGCAATCTAGTAATGACTTAATAAATACTTGTTGATTTGACATATATCTGTATATATGTGTGAATACACCTGTGTGTTTATATGGTACCTGTACTGGAAGAGCTTGTATGCTGATAAGAGATTCAAGCAGACTCTATCTCAGCAATTACCAGTTGGTAAAATGCTTAAATTTAGATGCTAATGATAATAACTAGCATTTATATAGTGCTTTGATATTTGCAAAGTGCTTTACAAATATTATCTCATTTTCTCTTCACTTAACCATCTTGGACTGTAGGGGCTATTATTATTCCTATTTTACAGATGAGGAAACTAAGATTAAGTGACTTGCCCAAGGTCAAACAGTTAGTTAGTATCTGAGGCCAGATTTAAACTCAGGTCTTCCTGACTTCCTGACTCCAGGTCTAGAACTCTATCCACTGTGCTGAAAATCCACCTCTAGATTTCTGGGACTGTGTTTTTGAAGGACTTCTGGAAGAGAGAAAATAGAAGAGAGAGAAGGAGCCATTCTTCCTGTTACCCACCAGGAAGAGAGGAAGGCAGGCAGGGCTGAGCAGGGAGCCCAACTCCTGGGTGCTGAGTTTCTCCCAGAACCTCATTTTGAGGAAGTGTCCAGGCCAGTCATGCTCACTCCTTCACTCCTCTCTTGGGTCTGCTCCTGTCTCTCTGGACTTCTCTCTTCTCGCCCTCAGCACCTGGATTTTCAGCTCCCTTTTACGTGTCATCTTCCCTTATGAAAATGCAATCTCCCTTGCCCATCCATTGGGGAATGGATGAATAAGTTGTGGCATACTAACGTAATGGAATACTATTGTTCTATAAGAAATGATGAGCAGATGGACTTAAGAAAAACCTGAAAAGACGTATATGAACTGATGCTGACTGAAGTGAACAGAACCAGGGGAACATTGTACACAGTAATAGCAACATTGTGTGATGATCAACTATGACTGACTTAGCTCTTCTCAGCAATACAATGACGTAAGACAATTCCAAAAAACTCAAGACAGAAAATCTATCCACATCCAGAGAAAGAATTATGGAGTCTGTACGCAGATCAAAGCATATTATTTTCTCTTTTTTTGTTTGTTTTTTCTTTCTCTTGGTTTTTCCCTTTTGTTCCAATTCTTCTTTCGTAACATGATTAATATGGAAATGTGTTTTACAGGATTGTACATGTATAGCCTATATCAAATTGCTTACCATCTTGGGGAGGGGTAAGAGGAGAGAGGAAGGGAGAAAATTTTGGAACTCAAAATCTTTCCAAAAACGAATGTTGAAAATTGTCTTTACACGTAATTGGAAAAAATAAATACTATTAATTTTTTAAAAAGGAATATAATCTCCTTGAGGGAAGGGAACTTTCTTTTTGCTCTTATTTGTATTTCCACAGCTTAGCCTAGCATTTAGTACATTGTAAGTACTTTAATAATGCCTGTTGACTTAACTGTGGAAAAACAGGCTCAAATTTAGAGTAGATGGTAGTGTAGGACACCAATAGGGACCACATGTGGCCAAGGCTACTCACACTTTTGGTACTGTGGGACCTTGAAGTCATTTTCTACTGGTGCAGTCTTTGCAAAGTTCAACTCTTAACTGCCAGAGCCAGCTTTCTCTTGAGCCCATTGCCAGCTCTATTCTCTGTGGCCATGGGTCATACTCCTTGACCCTGCTTGTAGCCTTGAGGGGAAGGTAAAGAGCCCCTCTGTATTACCATCTGCCTCAGGTATATGTGTCTGCTTCCTCAATCTTGCCTTACATTGTCCTGAATGGACTGCTGTCAGTTGCCTTCATCCAATGGCCAGGTTCCTATAATCCTCTCAAGTTCAGGAAGAATTTTTCACACTTTACTGTGAAGTTTTAGGAAGACTCCTTAATATGTCCTTTATATGTACATAATACATACACATGTGTGTATACGTGTGTGTGTGTGTGTATAATATATTATTTTTTGTGTGTGTATATATATTGGCCCCCTTCCAAGCCTTTATGCAACTTCCTTCCGTTACTCCCAGTTCTGTCCTCTGGGGCTAACCGGAACAAGCTCAATTTCTCTTCTCAGAGAAGTTACAAATCCCCCAAGTCTTCCTCATTCTGGACACTAAGGCTCTTGATGCACCCTGCTATCACACAGCTGCCAGCCTCATTATTCTGCCTCACCCACACCAGACTCAGCCCCTCCTCTACAATTTTTGATTTGTGCCCTCTGCCAATACACATCCTACCTTCAAGGCCTGCAAGTCTCATTTCCCCCAAAGAAGACCGCCCTGAGCAATCCAGTTCTTACTGATCTTTTCTTTCTTCTGCCCTCCTGCAATACTTAGTCTGGTACCACATAATTTGGCCCTAATATGTGATGTTACCTTCAAGAGTCTCAGAATCTCAGAGAGCTGCAAGAGACCTCAGAGGGAATTCAGTCCAACTGACTACCTGAACAGAAATCCTCTCTACAGCACCTCTGTAAACCATCCTTCTGAATATTTCCTGAACCCCCAACAGGCCATGTCTCAAGACAGCACAGGCTGTCTTCCATGTCTGGAATGTGCCCTCTCCTCATTCCCCCGCCCCCTTAGAATTCCCAACTTCTGGTAAGTTTCAGGGGCTACTTTTCTGATCTACCTCCAACTCCATTAGCAATTTCTTCCTCCTCAAATTGGTTTGTGTTTACCTATGTCCATCTTATAAGAGAAAAGCTACTTGAGGACATTTTTTTTCTTTTTATTCTATCTTTTTCATTCCAAGTATTTGGGCATAAAAGGTGTTTAATAAATATTTATTAAATTTGAATTGCTCTAGTTATTAGGAAGTTTTGCCTTATATTGAACCATAAATTGGATTCTCTCTACCTTCTTAGGGACAGCTAAGTGGCACAGTGCCTAGAGAACTCTTCTGAGTTCAAATCCAGCCTCAGTCACTTACTAGCTGTGTGACCCTGGGCAAGTCACTTCACCCTGTTTGCCTCAGTTTCTTCATCTGTAAAATGAGCTGGAGAAAGAAATGGCAAAGTACTCCAGTATCTTTGCCAAGAAAACCCCAAACAGGGTCACAAAGAGCCAGACATGACTGAAAAATGACTGAACAACTGCCTTCCACCCATTACTCTTACCCTCTGGGATCCAGAAGAACACATATAATCCAACTTCCATGTGACATAATTAAAGACAGCTAAGACAAACCTCCTAATTCTCTCCTCTGGGACAAACATTTACAATTCTTTCAACCAAGCCTGGTTTAACAGTCTTGGGAAGGCTCGAATTGGTTGCCTTGTGAGGGGTCCTAAGTTGCTAAAGACCTTGAGAGTTGTATTTCTTCTCAGCTTGGGAAGAGAAAAGGCTGATTCGTAATTGGAATGGAAGGGCAGAATTGTCTTTTATGGTTGGCTTTTTTTTTTTAATCTGCAGAGAGAGAAAAAAAGGAGAAAGCATGTGGAAAGAAGGGAGGTGGTGGGACTTCCACCACCTAAAGTACCAGCTCAGCCTTAGTGATAGCAGTGGTGGTGTATGACATTAGCAGCTCCCCACTGCAAAACCTCTTGGCCTCTGGGGAAACAGAAGAGATGAAAGATAAAGGGGCAAAGAACCATACTGACTCTGGCTTGCATTATATGTGCTTACTTAGGTTCTTGGAGCCCTGAGGAAGAAACAGATAAGGGAGAACCAGTTGTCCTTATCCTTAACCCCTCCCTACCTTTCTGGGAGCTCTTTTCTCAGTCTATCCTTTGATGCTGTTAAAGAGGACAGTTGGCTGAGCTAATCTTATTGCTCATAAACGCTTGTGGTTGACTCTGTCCTTCCCATTTCCAACTGGGGTAGTTCTGGAAACCACATGGGAGAGGGAGT